ACGCAAACCCTGTTAGAAGTTCCTCATCTAAGAGTCAAGTTTGGGCGATATAAATCTTCAAACTCGTCTCATCTGCTGCTCAGATAACTCACTCAGTTGAGTCAGAATGTGCGAGGATGTCGAAATCTGTCAGTCTTGAATGACGTAACTGAATTTACATGAGTCTTCACATTCTGTCTAAGAATTCGTATTAGACAGTTTAAGCGGAGATCAATAGGGCAACCACATAACAAGTAAAACACTACCATGATGTAGAAACCATTATATTGCTTACGTACTTGAACGAGGTATCGGTTTTTCATTCTGTTATTGAAATCCTACCGATTGGGTCTCACAGAGTCCTATCTGTTGTTATCTAGAACCAACATGCACCGACAGATTTCCTTTATTCTATCGCAGGATCAGCAAAGATGTTTTCATTTTCGGAGCTGATGCAGTTTCTGTAATACGCGCTGCTTTTTTAAGTCACGAGTAGGGTTAATTTTTTCTAGCTTTTAAGGGCGTTTAGGCAAAAATTTTTTAAAGCACCCGTAATTCAAGGAAAATTTCCATTCATTACTGGAAAAAAATCCTTTCGTAAACAACGTTTTTTCAACAAAAAATGCTGAAGCATGCACATTCCCCCAGAAGATTAATTGAAAGAAGTTAAATCGATAAAAGTTGAAATTCTACATATTTGGGTGATTTATACACCATGAAAATGAAGTTACAAACAACGTACGCAATTTCGAGGGGAGAACACTGGTAGATCACCTCTTTGCAACTTCAATAAAGGTTTCGTGGTTCAGTGCGCTGTCCTTTCTGAAGTCATCATTGCACTGCACATAATCGGGTTCATCTTCAAGAACAACTTGAGATCAGCTTAGTTGGATTAACTTGAACAATCTCTCTCCTGTTAACAGTGATGTATCTAGTAGTCTAATTACCACTTTCTCTGTTACTATAGTTTTCATTTTCGTACAACCGATTCGGATGCATCCGATAAATAAATTTATCGTTCCTAACTGGTTTCCTCGTTTCTGTCAGTAGGACCACGATTGCGCTGGTTTCGATTTCTCAGGTGCGCCCAATACTCGGCTGACTGTTTGTGAGCTCAGAATATCTCTGTCATAATCATTCCTTTTTTTTAGACTTGGGTAGCGTGCCGCACGGATGCAAGCAAGGAATTGAGCAACTACTTACGAGGTCTGTGGGCATTCTCAGTTCATGTTTGGTATTGTTCTAGGGTTTCGGCTGGTTGATGAACATTGCATATTAAGCGGTGGCGGGACAGTTAAGGGCAGCTAGAATTTTAAGTGGTTCTTTCAGCACTGAACTACGGATGTTAGATTGGAAGGATAACTGTATCAGTAGTTCTCATCATCTCCATGTCTTGATTTCTGACGATGGGGCTTTATCTATATAGAATTTTCTTAACACAGCATTAGTAGTGCATTTTTTCAGGTTGTTTTTTTCATCTTCGACTTATTCCTCAAACAGATCCAATGGATTCTACATGTCAGACAGTATAAGAGATTCCTTTTGCACTTGACAAGATCAAACCCCTGGAAAGGTTTCTATTGATTGCTACAATGGGATTTGTCTTTACAGCACAGCACATTTATCGAAAAGAAAATTATTCACCTTTTGCATCGAGTAAATTGCAGCATCAACTTCTACCATTTCTGAAGTCAAATGTTGCAAGCGTGAGTTTAGTGTAAGTTTGTCAATGCTATGAGGGGTTAAAATACTTCCGGCTGAAGGGATAAACGGGCCACTGGGTGATGAACTTATGGCGTTATCTGTTTCGTGATGCCCCAAATTTAATCGGAATGAATGCATTATTAGGCTATCACAATGCACTCCTCTGACATTCACCATCGGTAACAGACAGCTTCACTGTAACCCGGTACTAGATCACAGGCATTTTCTTCTAGTTACGATTCAGAAATCATGTTCTAAGTGAACATTGGGGTTCTCATGATTATGTAGTTTACCACTAGCCATGTTTGACATCAAAAGGCGAATAACAATTATTTTGTCCACGGGGGGTTGACATAACTTTTCCCGTATTCTAATGAGGTAAATCCTGTTTTTG